CAAACCCTGCCACCCCGACTCGTCGGACAAGAATTCGCAGCGTCCTCAACACACGCACGGAACCGGATGATAGGAAGACGACCTCTGCGCGGTAGTACGCCGGTTCACGCACGTGAGAGGAGGAGGATGGCATCCTTTCCGTTCCCCGACGACCAATGGCCAAATGTCTAGTGCTATAGACTTTGCTCCAAAGCTCTAAAATTAAAGCCATTCATCTCCTTTGACCTCCTCAAAGACCATCTTGTTTCCGTTTCCCTCGCAACTCACACAACTTTCCATTGATCTGGGTCCATAGATAGGATACTGCTATAATAATACCACCCACTCCCTTGACCCGCATGCGGAAAATCCCTCCTCACGATCGCCCAGATGTATGGCGATACATCATCGTGTCCGTACGCAGACCCAAGACTTACTTACACTAGTAACTTCAGCTCTGCAGAATTCAGCTCACCACTCACGCCGTGAAGCACCAATAGCCACTGGCGAGCGTGCATGCATGCCCTCTAAGCCGGAATTCCAAATCACGATAGGGCGCATGTACGAGTCGGAAGCATCTTGCCAGTATCTATCTAGTCCAAAGCTGCACTCTGATGATGTTATCGTTGAGATAGACTTTATTGTTCCTATCGCAAGCACGCCTTTGCAACGGGGCGGTAAAGGGAATGCGATAACAAGACGGACTTGAGAGCTGCTGGCCTGGCCTTGGTGGCTTGGCATCACATGAGCAAACACTTCACCTCTCCGAAAAGCAGCGCAAATATTCGAAAGTGGACCAGTCAGTGCGCTGACAGTCGGATTGAGATGGATGCGGCTTTACTCCTCAACGACTTCTTCTCAACTTATTGTTCATAACACACCAATACTACATCAAGTCCTTCCTGCTTCAATCCACGAGTCAAAGCATCAAGCATCCGGTCACGACAGTGAGCACCTGCCCACGACAAGAAATTACAAGAACGCCTTGCTGCGCGAAGAGTGTGCCAAGAATGTGCCCAGAATGTGACCCTACGAGCGAGACATCCTCCCTACGACAGAGAGACATTGTCTCGATCTATTCCTGATCCTCCTCTTCAATCTCCTCCTCGTCTTCCTTCTTCCTCGACCTGGGTTTCGTCATCCTCGGCGTCATGACCATGTGCCGTCTTGGTCGCCGGCGGCTATTGCGCAGGCATATCGACGATGATAGGTGTAGGTGCGGCCACAGCAGTCGTGGAAGTCTTGGTCTCGCTATGCGTCTTCTTTCTCTTCTTGGAAAAAGTCGAAGTCGAAATGAGACGGCCCCAGTAAGTCGTGTAGTCCATTTGGTCTGCAGGCCACGTCATATCGAGTGGTTGCAGAGCAGGCTTCCCGGTCACCGTCTTCTCCTGAGCACCGCGCTTCAGCCTGGTGAAAGTGGTGGTCACTCTGATAGGAAGCGAGTCGTCGATGTTGCGCTCTTCCACGGCCGCCACGGTAGAAGCCGCCGCCATGGCTTGAAAAAGGCCTGCATCCGTAATAGCGACGACCAAGCACCCTTCAGTGCCGTTAACTCCACGTCTGGTAATGGGGTGAGTGACAGACGACTGCGTATCGTCGAAATCAGGTGGATGAATTCCAGCAAAAGGCTTGGGGGGCATCGTGCTGCTAGTCGAATTGGAGCGATGGCAGATCTGCTCGCAAGGGTCCACACCGTCCGATGTATGCACAAGTTTTCTGCAAGCATGGCAGGAGCGAGGGACATGGCTCTCATCGTGAGGATCTTCAACTTGTCCGCCACGATGGCGGAAGGGGCCGAGAGGGCCTTCGCGAAAGTTCAAGTCCCCGTTCTCGATCATGAATTGGAGAACGGCAGAGGAGTCGTGAGTGCCACCGGCCGTGGCCGTGGTGGCAACAATTGCAGGACTGACAACGGTGGTGGTGGTGAGGGCGGCTCCCATGGCCGAGGAGGCCAGGAGAGCGCCAGACGCAACGTCGCGGAGATGCATCGGTGCAGATGAAAGTTCCAGACGGTGGAGTGCAGATAATAGAGAACGCGAAAGGTAACTGCGATCGTACGTCTTTTATACCAGCCTGGTGGTTGAGAAGCCTCGTTTTCGCTTGGTGAGCTCAAAATCCTGTAGGTTGCAACTGAGTGGCCAATACTGACGAGCCGCAAACAATCGCGCAATTTTGAGCAGAGAACTGTTGTCGTTGAGCGGATGCTTGGGTAAGTAGCTACGTGCTGTCCCAGAGAAGGGCGCGATCCAGACACCTGAGGAAACTCCGAAGCAATGTCGTTAAAGGTATTTCCTTTCAGCTTTCACCAACAAGTCGAGGTGGTGGGTCTGTACGCGTGATCTTGCTTGACCAAACTCGAAGCACAGGACGGCTGTTTTCGACGAGATAGGCTTCTCTTTTGTGGCATATTGGATGTCGCCGCTGATTTGACTCGTGTCGACATTCTCATCGCTTTCCACAAGGAAGCATGCTTGATCCGTGTGGCCTGAGGACAATATTGGGAGTCCAGCTTCTGACCATCCATATGCTCCACTTTCACCAGCGCTTACCACGAATTCAAGCTTCGCGTATTCAAAATAGTCAGCGTGATGTCCTCACGGAAGTAGCACTATAGTGTGATGGGCGGATCCAACTCACCAGCATCTTCCCCTGCACTTGTCATCCTATCTCTTCGATGCCTGGCGACCAGCAGTGACGTCTGTTAAAAAGTAATGTCATTCCGCAAGACCGCAACGCAGTCGCAAGCGTCCGCGCTGAAGACCTCCAAGGGAGCCACGACTCCACCTCTCATCTCTCCCGATCCGAAGTCCGAAGAACAAGTTCCTGTTCCCCTAGAGAAATTAAGCAGTCTCTCCATGCACATCTGCGACCTGCAAAATGAAGTCAACACTCTCATCCAAACGAAAATACAACAGGCTGCAACAATCGCTGAACAAGAGACCCGAATATCCAATTTAGAGCTCGCCTTGGCACATTCAAATGAGCTCCTCCATGAGACCAGATCTAGAATCGAAGAGCAAGAGGAAATGCTTCGAAGAGAGGTGAGAGAAAGTTTGTTGGGTGAAACTGAGAGGCAGGAGCAAAAGCTCGAGAGGTTTGACAAGGAGGCGAGGATACAGGAGAGGGAGAAGTGGTACCGAGCGAGCCATGCAACTTTTCAAGAGGGGCCGGTGTCGGATTCAGCAGCAGCGAGGACAGCGAATTCAGAGACAGCAGATAAGGAAAGCCAGCCATTCGCGAATTCTCTTAGCTCCGGAACAGGCTCTGCTACCTTGTGCTCCAGGACTGAGGAGGTCGGTTGGAACGAGAGCGTTCGAGACCCTACTGTCGATATTCGTGATGACGTTGAAGGCCAGGTCAACCCGCCAGTATATTGGAAACAGGACCTGGCTCCCATCCTGCCCGTTGAGCGAGCGCCCACAGAGCCCCCGAAGAGAAGCGGCAATCTGGGAATTAAATATGGTTGGAAGGAAATGAAGCGTAGCGCGGCTGGTCCAGAGAGTCCAATGACCGGAATACCATACGCGACGACGGAAGTCAATGGCGGTAGCGAGGTCCATCTGAAGCCAGTGTCATCATGTCGGAAGCTAAAGCTGGGTAAAGGATTCCTTAAAAAGCCCATGACGTTCAACTGAGTCCAGCAGGGTAGAGGCGGCGGTCCAAAGGCCACCCTGCTTGGGTCTTTGCTCCAGCGATCTCGCATTTGCCATGCGGTTCTGTACGTTAGTTGCCATGCTAAAATGTTGTTGAATTTGGCCTGAATTGATCTTGTCCGTAGCGTAGCATATGTACAATCGACTTTCTCCCGACTGCTCCCTCGTGGTATCCTATTTCGTTCGCACTTGCTTCAGCTTCTTTGGGCTGTGTACAAACTGGTCTGCGTATGCCTTGGGAATGATTCTCCTCTCATTTGGCTCTTGCACGAAATACTCGTAGCCTTGCTTGTTAGCAAACCGGATGGCGTCATCCTTGGATTCGAAGTTGAGGTGTGTGCCTTGCATGAAATCAGCAGAAGACTGCCAGCCCATGAGCGGATTCTCCCAGCGATGTCCTTTGCTGAGAGGATCCCAGTCCATGCGCCAGTGGTGCGAGTGCCAGTCCCCAGATTGAGTGGCAGTTTTGGCGGGTTTGTAAATGCTATAAACCCAAAGTGATTAGAGCAGGTAAAGGGGACTTCATCATGGTGGAACACTGTACCGGACCGTGCGCGCTTGCAGCTCAACTGGCGCACCCGAGAGCACAGCAGCGGGAGTATCAACACCAGGCTCACTGCCATCCATGACACGAGTGGGTACAGGAGAGAAGTTGCTGTATTCACCATGTCAGTCTTGCGTTTCCTTGCTCGCCTACTCCGTGCATGTTCTTACGATGTCCTGTAATCCGTAGCGACATTGTAATCTGGGCTGTGTCTTGGTTGTCCCTCTGCAGCTCCTTCTTGCCTAATCATCGCGCTCTCCGAGTGGCTTCCATGAGGGGGCTCGCTGGTGGAGGCGAGACCTGGCTGGCCTCGTTCGTGTGTGCTGCTGCCGGATTGGAAACGTGCCAGCGCTGGCTGTCGTAGGGAGAGGGCCGGTCGGCAGGCAGCAGCGCGCAACACTGCCATCGATCGTAGCGACGCCATACTGGGCTGATGTTGTCGTTTTGGAGTAGAGAGGTGCCTCAAGGTCGAGACGGTGATGTGTGCTGAGCGACCATCCAATGCCGGCGATTGGATGCTCAGACGTCCGTGCGTTTCCGAAGCCGTGTTGGCCTGAGGCATCCTACATCAGGTCATTCAGCTTCGTGTAACAACTCAATATTAATGCGGATGAATCTGAAGCCTGCGATACTTGGCTCGTGGAAGCGCCGAAGAGAAGATTCATTCACATGCTAATTCTTGACACGCTCATCGTCCGGGACTACGAGAAGTGAATAGTGACGCATGTCACGTGATTTTGCTTCAGTGTCTCATGGCTAGCGGACAAAGGTCTGTCGGCGCGTCGAAGCGCTTTGGATTGCCTTATATATACAGCTTGTCTGGTCTTCCGGGCTTCCTCCCTCTCATCTATCGCGATCCGACGCAATCAAAGCTCCTCTAGTGAGCATTGTTCTTGTGGTGACCTGCCTCCGATTAGCCATGCATCCTGGAATTTGCTAGGTCAGGGACTCACGGAGATGGAAGTAGTAGTTCTGTGCGTATCCAAGAAGCAGCAGGCCACCGACGACGTGGACGATTGCTGTCCAACAGTCAGTCATGCTTTTATGTCTCTCCCGTAATCCCTTCTGCTTTGCTCGCCTTCGACGGGGCCAGAATGTACGTACGCATTGGGCTGGGGTTCTTGCCCATGTACCTGAATTGGTACCACTGGAAGAAACCTCGAGGCTTTGGTTCTGGGGCGGCGCCGCGAGGGAGCTTCTCGTAGAATCCGACAACGTTCTGCATGCGCGCGGCATCCGCTGCGCCGCCAATGGCCTATTGCCTCACAGTCAGCCTCCTGTTCGTATTGAATAATCCTCCACACATTATGCAAGCTCCTTCTGTGCGGTAGCCCGTTGTACGGTATCAAGATGTGTAGCCGAAGGAGTTCGAGGTCGGGCGGATACGTACGTTTGGCGAAGCAACCTGCGTGTCCTGTGTCAGCTGCTGATATGCCATACAAATGTCATTTGAGTTGCTTCCCTACCTTTGGGGGGATCAATGAGGAGACCATGGCTGTGGTATGGGTGTTCAGTGGTGTCTGTGTTGAGCAGAGCGCTCCAGCTGTTGCGGCGAAGGCGACGGGACGAACCGCGGGCGAACCCGAACCTCCAAGCACGACCTCGAACGTCTCCTTTGACCTTGAACAAGCCGCGACCACGTCACAACTACTCTCTCCCGCCCTCTTCCTCTCCACCACCACCGTCCTCGTCTCCGACGCAGACACTGCTGTCTACCTGACCGCCGTAACCCTGCGGGCGCACTGAGCAACACCGACTTCTGCGCCCGAAACACCCACCGCGCGCCGCCTGACAGCAGCCGAGATAGCAACAGCACCTCTGTCGCGGTGGCAGGAACAGCCTCGCTCTACTTCTGACGCTAGGTTAGATACACCTTTCAGTCCTGCGCCTGCTTTGTCTGGCCCGGCAACAACATCTGAAGGCCGTCACGCGTCTTCCGCTGCGGGCAGCGGGCGCTGTCGGGAAAGATGTCGTCGGGTTCGGACTGCTCACCCTCCTCATCTCTCCATACGTGCACAAAATCAGCAACATTACGTTCTACAACACTTTCTGACTCCGCATCTCTTGCTCAAACAGCCCCGGACCTGGTTATGGCAGAGCAGATTAGCCACAATGTGGTAAACAGGCCCGAGTCGACGAGCGGCTCGCTCGTCGATGCTGCTGTGAACGACACCAACACCGTTTCCGCCCCCAGCGGCACCACCCAAGCGCTCGCCACCGACTCTGCAACTCACCCTCTCGATCCGCCCAAGAGCGCCAACCAGTCTGCGCCCAACGCGAATGCGACTGCGTCGAAGGTCCACGAGGGACTGGATGCGGCCAAGAATGCGGCGGAGCCAAGTGCTGGTGAAGCTGCGCATTCGACCGCTCAAAATTCTTCCAACAACCATGCTCCAGCCCTAGCAGACAAGATAGGCGTTAGTCCCGGCGAATCGCCCAACGCCCTCAAAGACGATGCGAGCCTAGGCGAAGGCCCAGCAGATGATAGGAGCACAGCTGATGTTTCAGTTGATGTGAGCGTCAACTCGGATACAGATAACAGCAGAGCAGATGCAGCTGAGAAGAAGGACGGAAGCCATCATGTCCGCACGAACTCGGTCAAGAAGCCTACGACATTCAGCAAGGTCACGGCAACTAAGAACTTCATGAACAAAATTGCGCCATCTGCGCCAGCCACACCGAAAGTGGGAGAGAAGCGTAAGTGGGCAATGTGGGATTGGTTCGATTGGTTGAAGGAGAAGGAGAAGCTAACACGTTGTAGCGAGTCCGGTATCTGCGGCAGTGCAGCCGATCAATAAGCCACGTTTGATTGCAAAGACTGGCGCTTCCCTGGCCAACTTGCAGAAGTCGCGCTCAGGCTCAGTCGGCGCAAGTGGCCCGGATGGCAGCAAAGTCTGGAACAAGAATAGGCCTGTACAGCCTCCTCCGCCAAGACAATTCACCGATGAGGAGCTAAAGCAACAATACGGAATCCACCTTGCCACACGTTTACAGAGCGATGAGGCCGGTAAGGACTCGAAGTGGGCAGACATCGATGATGACGAAGACGACTGGGCCCCCGAAGCTGTGGTTTGGATGGACGGGACGAAGTCCACAGTAACTCCGCAGGACTCGGTCCCTCCGCCAAAGGAACTACCGACCGAGCAGAAAGAACAGAAGCCGGCGGCACCACCAATCGCAAAGCCCCCAGATGGCGTTCGACCAATCCTAGCATTGAAGGGACGGTCTGGCGAAGCCATGAAGATTCTGAAGCCTGGCTCAGGAGGATCTGCACCTTCGCAGAGGCAGGACGGTCTCACAGCTGCCTCGCCTGGCCCTGAGAAAGCAGGTCTCAAGTCGAAGAGCCCCGCACCCGCCCCGACGAAGTCTCCATGGGCTCCTGTCCCTAAGGTCGACTCTGTTTCTCCGATAAACCCTCCCGTCCAGCAGCAACAGCAGCAGCCGCCTAGAACCATGCCGTCTCAAGACGTGCGATCTTACGAGTCAGCACCACCCCCGCCCCGCGAGATCGCCGCAGATACTTTCGACAGATCATGGAAAGAAGGCGAGGGCAATGCGCGGGAACTGTTCAATTCCACGAATGGACGTTATGAACCAGCGCCAGAAGGACGTGGGAGCTCGAGAGTGGAGCCATCGTTCCGCAAGCCTGCACTTCTGCAGCGCCCAAGTCAGGTCGGCGTACCACCTGCCGAGCCTTCTGCCACCTTTCAATCTCGAACGGCCACTCAGATGGACGGTAGCTGGGGCAGACGCCGTGGCTCTAGTGTAAGCCAAGGAAGCATGCCTCCGCCACGCCGCATGTCCATGAACCAGCGCCCAGATCTTGCTCAGACCCCTGAAATGCCACATGATATGCGATCACCCCAGAATGGTCGCGTGGCACCCGCCAAGTCCACCTTCGCCCAACAGTCGCAGTGGGACCAGCAGATGCCTCCACGCCCAGAACCTGGCACCGAGCCGACGCCTCCACCAGGACCGCCTGCCGAGGATCCGGTAGAGGTACAGGAGCGTGTGATGCGTGAGAAGCGTGAGCTGGCGAAGAAACGCCGTCAAGAAGAGGAAGCGAGGGAAGAAGATGCGAAGCAGGAACGTCTCAAGGCTAAACTTGCGGCACTTGAAGGTGCGGGCAAGTCTAAGAAGGAGCGGGAGGCGGAAGCCGCAGCTGCTGCCAAGGAAACAGACGCGAAGGTAACACCAACTTCTGAAAAGCCGGCGGAGCACGTTCAACCGTCAACACTACCTGAGCCGGCGATCCCCGCGGCGACATCAGCAGTCACTGCACCATCGCTCGAGTCACAGTCTCGGCCACCAGCGCCGGCAGCTGAGAAGCCACCGCAAATGCAGCCGTTGCACGAGAAGCTGCCATCGCCGCTTCCACCCAAGCCTCTGCCCGCAGGCCTCCCAGACCGCTCGCTCTCAAACGAGCATCAACAGCAGAAACAGGCGCCACGAGGACACCTGTCTCCTCGAGCCACGAACTGTGTTCCCTATCAGCAACCGTCTGGAACTTACAAGGCTCCAACCTCGTCATACTCGTCGCCTGGTGATCGGAAGCTGCAGCCCTCATTTGGGCGCTCGCCAAATCTCGGCCACGATGCATTTTCGACGCCTTGGCCCACAACGGCACCAAACGGCAATGTTTGGGGCACATCCGGAATAGGAAACGGAACTTTCGAGAATTCCAGCAGCTTCGCACCAGTGCCAATGTCACAGCAGAGCTCTGCACTTCCACCACCACCAGGAATGGGTCGACCAAGTGGTTCGGCGCGTATCTCGCCACAAAGCTTCGCACAAGAGACTCGGTCTCCTAGCTTACAACACTCCCAAGTATCGGAACAGCAGCGAGCCTTACCACCGCCTGGCATGGACTCGCGCCCGGAGCCATTCTCGAGTCAGCCAAGACTCAACGGCGTTTCACCTGCGCCAGGCGCCGGTCGACCTGTTCACCCGCCTGGTCCGATCGGACCACCCTCTCGGACACAGCAGCAGCCGCCGGCAGCGTCTGTAGCCACATCTCAGCCGTCCACGCAAGGCCCTGGCACCATCAGTGCTTGGAACAACGCGGCTGCTAGCCTCCCCAATCAGTACTCTCGAGAAATTGCAGCCGCCGAGGAGCGTAGAAGGCAGCAGGAGCAACCACCACCTCCACCTGCGCAGCATCGCTTTCGCGAGACGTTCAAGAAGACTTCGGCAAACCAAGGCGCTCTGGGTGGTCCTCGCAAGTATGACAGGACCGAGTATACAATTCACGATGCGCAAGGATCACGGTCAGTCCCGACGCTTAGTCCAGCGCCGCCGGCGACGCAGACTCAGCCACCAGCGCCATTCACCACCGCTTCGCCCGCGGACCCATGGCGAGCGAGCGCGGAAAACACAGTCCGCATGCCTGACCCGTCTCGCAACCCCACTCACATGTCGCAGCAACCCCCCATTGCTCCACCAAGCGCGCAGCAATCAGCAATGGCAGCATATCACGGAAACGAGCGGTCTGCAATTCTACCTGTCGCGCCAGTCATCGACTCGAAGGACCAGTCACCACCGCCTCCCGAGAACGAGGGTCATCCAGTCAACGACGGCGCCAATCATCCCCATGTGAGACTGCCGCGACCTCAAGCCAAGGTTAAGCTGCCTCCGTCATCCTCGCCTGGTCAGACGCACGTTCCTCCGCAGTCGCACGGGTCTGTCATGATGCCTCAGCGACCTTGGTCAAACGTGAATCCTCCAGGGGCTGCGAGGGCGATCGTCCATGACGCCGCATGGCAAGCACGATTCAATGGGTTGTTCAATCGCACCCCGATCCAGACCGAGACGCCGCCCTCACCACCAAAGACGCCGCCAAAGGTCCAAGCTCAGGCGCTCGCAGTTGCAGCATCTAGCAGGAATGCAATGGACGAGCAGGTGGGCGGTGCGACGGTTGCCCTTCCACAGGCTAAGAAGCGCAATGAGTTTGGATTCACCATCGACAACAGTAGCGATCGGTTCTCGAAGCCTATCATTGATGAAATGTTCAAGCAAGAGCAAAGCTTCGGCTCGACCCCGAAGGTCCGAGTCCCGCGCAACACCAAATACAACACCGCGGTGTACGGCGCGAGTAGCAAGAACATGCTTCAGATGCCCGTGAACTCCAAGTTTCAGAAGCAGATTGATGCGCAATCCTCACAAGAGCCCTTCTTCTGGCGTAACCCTGAAGGCATCTTTGTCACCATTCCCCACACGAGGTTTGATAACAAGCTTATCAAGCACTCTTCTATCCCTGACAAGAGTGGTAACGGTCTTCGTAAGCCCCATGCCCGGAACAACAGCTTTCAGGATCGTGCTCAGGATCGGAAAGCCAGTGGCAGGTCCAACAAGAACAAGAGCGGCAAGGAGAGCAACGCGGTGGGGCTGGAGAACTCCACGAACGGGGAAGGCAGAAATGATGGCTATCAAAAGCCTTCGCGTCAGCCTTCGAACGTACCGGTCACGCACGAGAAAGCTGCTTCTAGAAACGAAGGCTCCAAGAACGAGCAGGGCGGAGACAAGCGGAAGTCGGGCTGGGGCAACGGTGGCCGGCGTGGTGGCCGGTCTCAGCAGGCCAGCACTGCTCCCACGCCTGTCAAAGCGAATTGAGCTTGATATCACACCTTGCTCTGGATGGACCTCGAGATGCAAGACTCCAGGAAGCCTGCCCATGGGACACGAGCGACAAAGATGTGCATATCGGTGCACCCCGATTGCTCAGAGGAGCAGCAAAGCGGCAAAGCTCTGACTCGGGAAGGACTTCCTCTCGAGCAGGAGATGGACGTCGATGCCATTGCAATTACTCACCTTGTGTGTGCGTGTACCCCTTTCTAAGGTATGCGTATGTACTATACTACACCCTTCTTCAGATATCGAAGCGAAACAGAGGCTTTTGAAAGATAAGAATCACGTCATGTTTTCCAAGTATGTCGGTTAGATCAATTGCGGCTGTGACTTGAGAAAGAGAAGCCGACATGCGCTGTAACAAGAAATAGCCGAGCGGTCCATGGAACACAAGAATGCAGACGTCCACTAGCTTCCGCTTAGCGTCGCCCAATGACTGAACTCGTTACTGACTGTACTACCACGAGATTCCGGCACGGCTGACTACGTTGTGTAGTAATGCGGCGTAAAGTGCCCGTGCTTCCCTATCAGTACCTTATTAGTGACTTAGTCCAGATGCTTCCGATCTCCACAGGCATGGTTCGCGCTAAAAACAGACTTGTATCTGATAGTTCTAGTCGAATTGCGTGGCCACGCGGCGCTGTTGACGACGACTGCACCCCACACAATAATCCCCAGGGGCGTCCTTTCTTTTTCTCAAAATTAGATACTGTGGTATCCTACCACAAGAGTTCTGGCTGGCGTTTGACGAGACGCAGTAGTGATGAGCAGACCCACCTTGACTATCATACTTTTCTGAAAGCCTGCCTATCAAAGCAAGGATGTCTTCCGATTATGAATTCACTACTGTTATATTAGTAAAGGGGTAGATCTCGCTACTCTTTGATGGAACGACAGTCGTTTGTGCGAAAGCAGATCACTACATTTTCTTTTGGAGAGAGCAATGCCTGGAAACGACGATGCGATTCGACGGGTAGATGCGAACGACAACGAGGACAATCACGAACAACATGCTCTCGGGACCGTCCGTCTGCAGGATTTTAACACGAAGGAACGGATTCTCGTTCCGACTCCTAGCAACGATGCGAGGGATCCCCTTAGTTGGTATGTTCTGCTGACTTCTCCATACACAGTGTAGAGGATTGACTGACCCTCTCGGGCCAATTCAGGTCCAACCCCTTCCGTTACTACCTCGCTTTCCTCGTCTGCCTCTCCATGATCCTCTGCAATTTCCTCGCCGCAGGCCCTGCCATCGCCATGTCAGAAACCATCGAAGATCTCCTCGACACCGAAGACGAAGACTGGGACAGGCAGGTTTCCCAGATTTCCTTCCTCTTCACGACGAATTCCCTATTCCAAGGCCTGGGCAATCTGATCTGGATGCCCTTGGTGGTGAAATTTGGTAAACGGCCGGTTTACATTGCGTCATCGGCAATGTACACGATTACGGCGATCTGGGTTGCTTCGGCGAGGACTTATGCGAATGCCTTGGTTGCGAGGATCGTGATGGGGTTCGCGAGTGGGAGTGGAGAGTGCATTGCTCCCCTGACCATCAGCGATCTCTTCTTCTTGCATGAACGCGGGACCGTGATGGCGATGTATACCGCTTCGCTCAACTTCGGTGTCTCGATGGGTATAATCCTTTCCGGTCTGATCACACTGACCTTGGAGTGGAGATATATCTATTGGATTGCAAGCGCGATGATCGGGGTGTTGACGATTGTGGTCTTCTTCACGATGCCGGAAACTTCATTTGCGAGGAGCCAGTATCTTGCTCATGACAGTGACACTTTCCGCGACGATCAGACCGCTGCTCCACCTTCACGACAGTGTGATCGATACGTCGAAACTCTCCGTCTGTACAACGGGCGCTTCACGAACGAATCTTTCCGCACTCTTTTCATTCGCCCAATCCTCATGCTGGCACTGCCTCCGGTGTTGTGGGCCACGCTCGTAATGGCTGTAACGATTGGTTTCCTCGTCGCAATAACCTCGAACTTCTCTACGGCGTTCGCCGATACGTACGACTTTGAAGCATGGCAAGCTGGACTCTGCTTTATTGCGGGATTGTTGGGAAGCGGATTTGGCATTTTCTTTGGCGGGTGGTTTTCGGACTGGATCGCGGATTGTTTGACGAGGAGAAACGGTAAGCCATGGCGTGCGTGTATCTGGGTTGGTGGATATTATGGGCTGACCTCGTTGCTCTTAGGTGGTACTCGCGAGCCAGAATTCCGTCTGCCTGCTATGACTATCGGTCTCCTTACAACACCGCTTGCTTTGGCACTATACGGAGCCGGAATCGAATGCCAATGGCATTGGACCGTTCCAACAGTGGCTTTGGGTTTGCTGAGCTTCAGCATAGCACAAGCAACAAGCGTGTCCCTCGTCTACATTGTCGACGCATACCGTCCTGTAGTAGGCGAGACGGTCGTGACGCAGCTCGCTTTCAAGTGTAAGTCTTCAAGCTCTTCCATCGTCGTAGTGAAGTCTGCTAACAATCCGCTCTAGCTGCCTTCGGCTTCCTACTGTCATTTTACACCAACCCATGGATAGCGTTGGATGGCTACGAAGACTCCTTCGGCGCCATGGCCGGGATCTCGGCTTGTATACTGGTCCTCTGGATCCCACTGTTCCTGTATGGCAAACGGATCCGGCATGCGAGCTTGGCATGGCCTTTCATTGCAAGTAGAATTAGGTGGAATCCTGACCGAGAGACGGGAGAATGAAGCCGACACGATTGCATCATTTGGTGACCACACTCAGTGGTTTACCATGAGTATTCATACCGAAGACGCCGCTTCTCCAAGATCGCGCATGAGTTGGATAAGGTTCTCAACCATAGCCGGTCTTTGCGGTCCAGTAGCTGGAGTAGCAGAGCGATTGCTCGACTCTGGAGGCTGGCTAGCTGGTGCCAGTGCATGGATTACGACTTCCATGACCTGCCTTGGATGGTCGAGTGGAACAGTTTCCGGATGCTCGAAGACAGGCTCTGCGCCAGGCCCTCGACTAGATCGCGTGACTTCCATCCTAGCCATTCCCGGATTGACCACGTTTGGTCCACGCAGGAAGGGCGATTTTGCAGAAATGACTGCACGTCCTTTGTTCAGGCCGATAAAGCGGTGGCGATCGATAGCACTCAACTCCTCGTCATCGCCATCAAGACGGATTAGATTACCTTCGTAGTCGACAGCTGGCGTGGTAAGCTGCGGTGGCAATTGGCGCGCAGATTGTACAGAAGCGTCTTGGCCGGCCTCTATGTCTCTTGCGATTGCTCGCGAAAGCAGACCGTATACCCAAAACGCAAGTCCGGCATGGTACAGTGCAATAGCGTTGAAGTCGCGGAGCCAAGGTGTGTCTGGGGGAGCGAATCGGGAGGCATTGGGACTGCGGCCAGCAGGTCGTCGAGCTGCGCGTAGCACCTGACCAGCATGCCACAATGCTTCGCGACACTCTGGTGAGCGATACCATTGCTTCAAAGACGGTAGAACTCTTCGCGCTTCTTCTTCGCCCTCTTTCCCGGCTAGAATTTGGAGGTCTCCGAATGCCACACACAAGTTCATGCGCAGTAACTGCGACATCATGTGGACTTCTTTTGGAACGAACACATTCCAGTCCTCAATTGCAACGTAGAATGAGTCCAACAGGCGACGCAATTCTTGGCATTTGGAGGATGCCAGGAGTGTGCCGGCCCATTGCATATCGGCAGAAGCTTGCGCCTTATTTGCGGATGATAATTGAGTAAACTCCCACGCGAGGCACCAATGGCTGAGGAGAACGAGGTACAGGGTAAGCTCCAGGTCGATCTGATGTCGGACGACACCCATTATCGACGCATCGCACATACTTGATACGAAGGAGGGTGATGGCTGTCCCAAGCCGAGCGCAAAGTACTGTTCTCGCCATTCTTGAGCTGTCTTCGCTCTCCACAGTGCCTGGGGCGCAGGCAGCTCCAGCGACACCTCAGCATAAGATAGAACAGGCGGCGTCTGGAATGAGATCGAGACTTGGACGCAATAGATGAAAACGTGGTACGCTAGGCGCTTGAAAGACTCGGCCTCAACCCAGGTACGCCATTTCTGTTCCAGTGATGCAGGCGCATCTTCAGCGGTCGGACCGGGTGCTGCTCCTCGAGATCGACGGAAGCCACCAGAACGTCGGATCATAGTGACGAGAGGAAGTACAGCGCTCTCTGCCATTACCATTGTGCGCTTGTTACCGCTCCACGTCCCAAGGTCAAGGCGAATGGCGTATGCTTGGAGAGCTTGCAAACTACGGGTGTAGCTATTGTCTCGTTCCATCAATTCCCACAGCGCGACACGTGACTTGTCATGAAGGGCATAACCAAGTCGTTGAGCGTGGCTCGACTTGCTCAGGACTGCACCATGTGCCACCATCAAGGTGAGAAGCTCTGGGATGACTTCGGCCGGACGAAAGGTCGGTACGTGAAACCAAGAGTCGATACTGTGCTCCATGTTTAGTAAATGATCGTTCAGAAAGATGTCCAGGACCTTGACGCCAGGGAAGAGTGCCACAATTCGCTGATAGTTGACCTTATCGCAACTTGCCAGTAACAGTGCCACCATTTTGTCCCGATCTTGAAGGCTGAGTGGTTGCGCGAGGATTTCTTGACCTGGTCGGTAGAGATTTTCTGCGCCTTGGCCATCTATGAGAATCGAGGCAAGCGTCTGATCGTTGTCCTTCCCCTTCTCGTGGTTTGGGATCCATCTAAAGGCAGAACGCTTGTACGCAGCGGAACCAAGGTTGATGCTCTCATCTATCGACTGAATGCTGTGCTCGGAGGTTGTAGGGTTTCTAGGCTTATCCATTGGCATGTTGCCGGCAAGCGAAGGATCTAGCCAGGGATCCCAGTTCCCAGACAGTACCGTGTCCAGATCGTGGAAATCCATGCTCAGATCTTGGCTGAAGTCCATGAGGTCCCGATTGGAGAAGTTACCATTCCAAGTCACGTCTGTCCGTGGATGGTGCTGTGCCTGCGCAGCTTGCGTAGGATGAAACACGTTGGATAAGAAGTCGGTCAGAGAGGGATCTTCGATCATAGGGCCAGTGTTCGGAGGTCCGTGTGTGTTGGTAGGGACTTGCATCTGCGGAACGTATGTGTTGGCATGATTGGTGTGGAGAGGAACATGCTCAACAGGCGCTCTGCTCCCAGGCGTCTGTTGTGGTGACCATTGTGCATCTGGTGAACCACTCCCACCGTTGCGAAGTGCTGCGGAGCCAGAGTTGGAGTCAACACGGCACTCCAGCCCTTTTGTCTTGCACCGCTTGCATGGCTTCTCTTGGTCACACTTGACTTTGATCGTCGCCTGAGACTGACATGAGCCGTAATTCCAACGAATCGAATGTTCTTGACACTTACACAAGCAGCACAGGCTTGCGACGCTCTCATCTTCCGCTTCTTACCGGACTGTTCGGTGCTTGTGTGAAGAGTAGCGTGGCGTTTGAGGAGGTCACTATCTTGCGTCAGTCATGACCAGTCAACAAACCAGTATAAGATTTTAAGCTTGTTTCCGCCGACCGCGCACAGGCTTATCGGTCAGACCGATCCACTTGCTCACGCAGCATTCTGCAACGTGGCCGGAGAATTGAATGAGAAAATGTTGTTCATGCTCGGAGTTCTTCCTCGGCCGAGCATATCGCATTGATGAGAAAGTGGCGAGATCTTGCTTTAATACAAACAGATTGGCACTTACGCTCTGGCGAAAGTCTTCCCACAATCCACACATCCTAACGACAACTCATGAGCTTTCTGGACGTTTGCACATGGCCATTCCTTTGACACGTACGAAAGGGCTTTTCATTGGTATCTGGGCACAACTTCATCAGCCACATTGAACGGGTTATATGGGGCGCTCCACTCACGACTGCGGAAATGCCTTGCCAGGTGGTCGATACGCCCATAGGTCTTCTGACAGACATTACACACGAAGGGATTGGTTCCATGGCTCTCGCCGGCATCAGCGGCGGACATGATCACGTCACGTGGGCTCGTATGTCTCGCTCGAACTTCTTCTGCCTTGGCCGACGACGAGCTGTCAGCGTTCCCTGTGGTCTCTCTGTCCCGGAGGACGGCAGAGGTGGAGGCCCGAGGGAGTTGATGTTAAGTGCCTGTCCAAGACAGGAGACGTCGCCGCCAAGCTTTCGGCCGCGTGGGTTTGCCGCCCGCGACCCGCGTCTCATCTCGGGATCGTATATTCGTAATCAATAATTCTGCGGAGCACAGCCAATCTCATCACACCTCGTATAGCTTATTACACATCCCCCTCGATCTCATATTTCTCGACGCTTTGTACAGTACAGCGACATGTCGACAGATTACCTTGCGTCCTTCTCAGCGCTGACACGGGCTGAGCATCCTGCAGAGCTGCGTCTCCGCCTTTCTGCGCAGTCGTCGTATCCACCAAGCACAGGCTGCGGTGTGGAGATCCGTGCTGCCATCGATTCGCTTCTTTGGGCCTTACGTACTCAAAGGCCGCGCTACTCAGCGGTACAGGTGGACCACATCGACCGAGAGTAAAAGGGTTTTCATATGAACAACGCAAAAGTTTTACAAGACTGGGCCTTCCCGTTTTGCTCAAAGGCAAGACGCCCGCCACGTGCATGGTCCTGAAGCCTTTCGTGTCTGTTCACATTTGACGTATGGCCGAGACACTTTCTCCATGCTCTACCGTACCCCAACGCCAACCAACAAGAGCGAGTGATGGAGTCACCAAGGCCGCGAACACGTCGACAGTGGAGCTGTGCCAAGCAAATATATGCGACATACAGAGATGAGCTGCGCGTCGGTGTTGTACGCGGCCACTGCCCCGCGCGGACTAGCTCTCCCGGACAATAGGAATACGAGAGGCTCTCGTTTGCCAGATCACGGAAATTCGCCGTGATGGTCGCAGCGTTGATGAAGACGAGCGGCAATGCACTGCAAGGTGAGCATCAGTGTCTGTCGATCAGCGCGGGATGGCTGTCATAACGCATCCGACGCTGCGAGGCTAGAAAACGAACAACCTCAATAAGGCCACATGGTGGCAATTAAAGAAAGTGTAGGGCGATCACAAAACACGCTGATCTTGAAGACTCTGGACAGAGAAGCGACGCTGAAGCATGAGGATAACCATCCCCGTGAACGAGAGTAACGTTCTGTTAATCTACACGCCATATTGAAGCACACTGTTGTAATAACAACACAGCATAGTGGGACAACGAAGACTTATTGTGACACTCAACACGGACACGACCACAGTTGCACGGACTGTACCGAGAATCCGACCATATCATCACAACGATAGCCATTGTTGACATGGTGACCTAAACATCAGAACGCAGCAACGATGACATGCTGCTCAACAGCGAAACACCAAATCGCATACCATTGCGATATATTCGCACCCGGAAGAGGTCCGCGTTACAACCGGTCTCGCGAACATCATTTACTGAGCTGTGTGCACACCTCAGTATTACAGGACCGCCTGCGCGCTCCTGGCCACCATCTTTCATTCGAGTGACACGACACTCTAGATGCTTGACGGCAGCAAGTCGCACATTTGACCAAGAGATGATATGCCGCGGCCATAAATTCTTCTGAGCAGTGCAGCTGGGACGAAATCTATAGACGACAGCAGACTTTTGATAACGTTCTACAGCAGCTTGCCTAGGCGCATTTGACGACCGAACTGTACTCTTGAGTATAGACTGGCAAGGAGGAAGGATGCTAATACTTACAACGCTGACAATACGTACAACAAAGCAACAGTCGCACGCAACATCTACGTCAACAACTACAACATCAGCTACTCGGCAGTTGCCGCTACAGCTCCAGCACTCGGAGGCAACACGATCGATATGACCCGTTGGCATGCACTGTGCGTGCATTATAAGCTGAAGGAATTCGGGCCAGGGCAGCAATCATGCTCTCCCGTTTTGCAAGAGAAGATATAACGGAAACCTCGAGACTGAGCAGCGACAAGAGCACAGGAAGTCTAGATTCTCGGATTGGAACTCTCTGGCTCTCTTTCTGCATTCTCTGCCAGTGGCCCTGTGGTCTCTGTTGATCAGCTGTCTATCAAAATCCTCTGTGCTTCACGCCAGGCGTCTCAACGTATATGAATCCACTCGATGCATGAGGACCTTCAATTCCTACTGCCACCATCCTCTCTCTCTCTCTCACTCCCGCTCCTCAATCCGTGCCCTTGTCCACGCTCGGTTCCCGCCCCTCCTTCAACGGCAGGAAGATCTTCTGCCACAGCTCACTTTCCTCCCCAACGGTATAACACAACTCCACCTTCTCCATCCCTTCATCCTCCCCGCCTTGCAAATTCTCCAACATGCTCACAACAGTTTCCAACCCCAACGCCTTCCCCACAGCCTGCGTTCCCGTCGCGTCCAGATTCACATGCACAATGTGGACATGGAAATGATAATACGTCGGCTGATAATGGATATAAAACTTCAACATATCCGCCTCCACCTCCGGATAGAGCTCCTTCGTAATAGTCGCGAGCAGCGTCCGATGCAGCAGTCTCAAAAACGGGAGATCCCTCCGCTTCAGATCTCGCACCGACCAGAGATCCCGCCTCTCCACCAGCGCGAGCAAGTGCATCGCATCCCGCGTCTTGCGATCCCAATTGAGATCCGGAAGCAACAGAAACCCCTCCCCCCGATCCAACCCCTTGCCCCACTCCGCACTGCGAAACAGCACGTTTTCCTGCTCCGCGATCCCGTCGAGGATATTAAACACCCAATTCAACCGCCCTCCCTCCCGGCAACTCCGCATATAAGGTCTCACGAAGTCCTGGTAAATCCCCGCCGTCTCGCGCACGACGCGCATCTGCTGGAATTTATACTTGCGGAGGTGCTTCTCGCCCGCCGGCCAGATGAGGTTGATTTTCAGGTCGGCGGGACAGGCTTGGTCGAGGCCGTTTTCCGGGAGCGAATTCGCGAGATACCATTTGTACACGTCGTTCGTCCCGAGGGTTTGGATGTGTAAGAGGAGACGGTTGAAGGTGGTGAGGTATTGTGGTTCTGTGCTGAAAGCTGCTCGCTCGGCGAGGAGGAGAGCTGGTTGGGAGGCGATTGTGCCTTGGAGGATGAGACGCCGGCCTTGTTGGTCTGTGTTTAGGAGGTTGGTGAATTTGAAGCGCGTGAGGAGGGTGTTGGATTCTTCCGGTGAGTGCATGTTTTCTGATGATTCCGGATTGGTGGTGTCCGGCATGATTGCGTTCCTTGATCTGATGTTGTTCTTGGTTTGTCTGGAAAACAATTTGTGGTTGTTGGAAAGTTGACGTGCAGTCAGGAGACACGTGACGATACGAACTCTATTCCGCAAATGATTCTCAAAGTATGTCCTGCCCACCAATGTGCTGAAAATTCAAATCAGGGAAAATGGTATCACATGCGCTTTTGATATCTGTTCTATCTGTGTAGAAGAAAATCTATGCAAGCCCTTACCTGAGCAGAATCATGTCCAAGAGTACCGTGCGTAGCCAAGAAGCGATGCAGTTCCTCCTTCAAATGCAAAGCAGGGTATCCATATCCATTCCGTCTCGCCACGTTTCTCATCCACAGATAGATCAATTCCTACTTGTTGCCCTTCTTGAGCGCCTCGAGGAATTCCTTGGGTGGCTGCTGCCTGTAGCCCTGTGGGTTGTTCTCTGTCCATCTCCACAGATCTTCGCAAGCATCTTCCAAGGTGTGCTTCGCCTTCCAGCCCAGCTCGGTGTTTGCTCGGGTTGGGTTGGCTGTCAGGTCCAGCACATCTCCAGCTCGGCGTCCAGCCACCTCGTATGGCAGATCGCGGCCGACAGCTTTCGAAAATGCCTTGACCATGTCGAAGACGGTGGAGCCTCTGCCGGTGCCGAGATTCCATGCTCGCACGCCAGGGTGTTGCGAGCGCAGGTGGTTGAGGGCAACAAGATGGCCTTCGGCGAGGTCGAGGATGTGGATGTAGTCTCGGATGGCTGTTCCGTCCTTGGAAGCGTAGTCTTGTAGATCGAGATCAGCCTATCTGGTAGCCGCATTCACTGGATGAAGCCATTCACTCACCGTCTCCAAAGACAAGCAGCTTCTCTCGCTTGCCAACAGCAACCTGTGCCAATAATGGCAAAAGATTGTATGGCACACCCTGTGGATCCTCGCCCATGATACCGCTAGGGTGGCTTCCAGCCGGGTTGAAGTATCTCAGCAATGCGCCATTGAACTCCTCGCCAGTCTTTCCGGCCTTCTTAGCCTTGACTCTCTCGCTGTTGATGTAGTCGGTGATCATCGTCTCAACGGTGAACTTTGTGTTTCCGTACGGGTTGGTGGGTCCCAATGGGCATTCCTCTGGGATGGGAATCATGTTGGGGAATCGGGTGGCATCGCCATACACGGTAGCACTGCTGGAGAAGACAATGTTGGTGACCTTGTGCTTCTGCATGCTCCTCAACAAGCAAAGGGTGCCGTAGACATTGACGTTGTAGTAGTCGAGAGGAATTTCTCCCGACTCACCCACAGCCTTGAGGGCAGCGAAGTGGATAACATTGTCAATGTCAGGGTGTGCAGCGAAGACCTCGTCCAACTTCTTCTCGTCTGTGATATCGCATTGAACATATTCAGGTTTCTTGCCGCAGATGAGCTCGATGCGGTTGATGACTTCGGCGGAGGAGTTGTAGAGGTTGTCGACAATGACGACTTTGTAGTCTGCTTGGAGCAGGGCGAGGGCGGTGAAGGAGCCGATGTAGCCGGTTCCACTATAGCAATGGACCAAGTCAGTACGAGGCGTGAGAGAGGTGCAGTTGCCCGGTCAGGTAGCAGCATGCTGCTCCATGCTTCTTCCATCTTGCTCTCGCGTGGCAGACGTACCCGGTCACGAGGACTGATCCGACGACCATGGTGATGCTGAACTCTGGTCAAACCTTGAAGGTGTGTGTGGCTGTAGCCCGGCTTGACAACGTCAATGTCTCGCTATGGAGGAGTGGTATCTTCCGCGAGTCGTCTCTCTCAAGTCACGGAGGGCGGAAGGGCGGTGGAGGGGATGGCGGGGAGCAGGTTGTCGGTTTGCCGTAGCAGTTCCCACTCGACTTTCTAGTGAACAGGGGAAGGGTCGACGGCCACGTTTTAGGCTCAGCCCGTGCGCTGGGGTGCTAGGTTTCGCAGGGCTGAGTTCGACGTCGGCATCGGCATCGGCATCGGCATCGGCATGTGGGCCAAGTCTTCCCGATACTCTTCGCTCGTACATTGGAACAACTACTTCCTTCGCCAATCAGCATCAGTTCAACACGATCTGATATTGCTGTGTCCTTCGTTATCAGGCCTGAGGAATTCAAAAGCCCTTTGTTTGAAACTGCCCTTGGTCGTTTCAGGCACATTGGCACGAAATTGTCCCGAAGCCAGCCCGCACAGGTCGATCGCGACGGAGAATGGCGACACGTGGATTTGTTTGGTGTTTATCAACAGCAATGGTCTGGACTGGGCCAGAGTTGTAAGAACAAGAGATTGGCGGTTTCGCCGTGCGATGAGTGCCGTACCGCAGTCGGGCAAGGCTCTTTGCATGGACGCAAGGCTCACTCACTTGGGAGCTACACATATTGGTCAGACGCTATTGAATGAAGACCTTTCCAAAAGTCAAATGGAGGATTTGCGGACGATATTGGGTCTCGTTTCTCCGCAAGGCAGCAATATTGCGCATCTCGAGGTGATTTCCGAGCGAATTGAGAACCGTTTCCTCGTCTGGGCTCCGAAGGATGATATGAGTGAATGCTTCGATTAGCCGCCTCCTTAGAACCACGCGAAGGATGGCTTTGACGATAAGGTAATCTGGTGTGATGGATGCGATGACGAAGAAGGCAAGAGGGAGAATACAGCCCGGAGCCCTAAGTTGGAGATGATCCTGCGGATTGACAATCTGAATTTGATTGGTTGACCTGCAGGACAGTCTGCTAGCACACTAGCTCTGTGTTGATCGACCGGTCCGTCTGGTGTATGCCTTGAGGGCTTGTGAAACGTGAGGTCTACAGCACCCGAATCGCGATATCCCCATGATGAGCGAGAAGTGTGGCTGCGATGCGGACAGAGCGGCGACAGTGTACTACCGTATCCTTCAATCCTCACGATGAAGTCGGCCGCCGAGTAGACTTTCGTGCCTGGTAGCCTCGGACGCAGAAGTCATGGAGGAGAGCCTCAGAAGTCGTGGGAATCGGCTGAGAGCGGACGTTGGAATACAGCACACAGCTTCCCGCACATTCCACATCCATCTCTCCACACCCCGCGTCCCCGGCGAGCAGATGCATTATTGCGAAGTGGACATCGGATCATTCTGCAGTCGACAACAGCGCGACCGACGACTCCGCGGCTCCATCGGTATCTTCCTTCCGTGCAATCCAGAGCGACGGCACCCCTCCCGAGGGCTCACTTTGCCAGCCCTCAGCCGTCGTTAGGGCTTCCTCGCCCGTCCGCTGGGGTGAAGGGGAAGGATTCAGAGGCGACAATATGTCTCGTACGTGCAGTCTCCTAATTCAGATCTGCATTCGCTTGTGTTCCTCAACATGGATGTCGCCATTTCACCAGAGCTCTTGAGGGCTGACTGTCGCAAACAGTCCTGTCATCATCTTACCGTCCATACCCTACCATGCACGACGCACAGTCGGTCGTAGGAGCGAACAATGCCTGCATGCCCAACAAGCGCCGCAGACTGGACGACGCTGCTGCAGAGGAAGGTGCGCCATCCGCCGCAGAGGGCTATGACCGGCCCTGGGAAGAGGATTCTCGGACTGCAAGCCACGCGCCTGGTACTGCGGGACGAACGTTTGTTTCATCGGGACAGCAGAATGGGAGCGCCTACGGTAGCAGTCATGTCGCCGCGGATTATGCCGCATCCCAGGGCATGGGTGCGACTGAGGGTTCCGGCTGGCAGCAGAACTCGGAGTCTTCGGCCTACCCGGATCTCGCGCCGTACCAGCAGCAGCCCTACTTCTATGGACAGGCTAATCAGCCCGGCTATAACTCCTCATGGGCCCCGACTGCTCCAGCTTCTCAACCATATGGCCACACTGCTACCTCTGGAAGCTACTCTGTTGGAGAGCAAGCTGGGACTGCCACCATGCCGTACTTTCCTCCTCAACAGCCCAATGTCAACGGTGCAGAGACCACAGACGTGCCACTCGACGAGCCGAACAGCAACTACAGCCGCTTGCCCTCCCTAGAAGTCTCAAATCAGTATGCTTCGTACACCCAGCCGAGTCATACTGCCGCTCTTGCACAACGAGAAGCGGCGAAATCGTCAGCGTACTACTTCGACGACGCCAGTATGCATCTAAAGATTCAAAGTCTTCCTATACTTGACAACCTGGTGTGTCGAACCCGTGTCTTGAGAACCCATTCGATTTGGCATCAGTTCTGTTGCTCCCACTAACGTCTCCGCCAGGCTACTCAGCTCATCCACACAATATCAAAAGCTTCCTTTCCTCAGATTCAAGACCTGATGCGAGGCGCTGGAGAGTCCGAAGACACGCAAGCTTACAGGACACTCAAGAATCTGTTCGACCAGACGAGAAAGGTCTACAGCAGAGACACGCCATTCATCGACGCGATTGCAATCCAGATGTTCCAACCTAATCAACAAGAGATTATCCGGAAAGCCAACATTGCAACCTTCATCGCCAGCATCCTGGGCGCGCACGATGTGAGCTTCTTCCATCTGAACGAGTTCTTCATGGAAACGTTCGTACCTCTCGGCCACAGGCTGTTGAAATGGCAAGGAGCCATATACCTCGATTTGAAGACGCAGATCTACATATCGGCACTCATGAACAGCGACGGCAGCCCCGAAGCAATGCTGGACGAGCTGTTCCCGGCCGATCTCGATGCCCAGATCTTGACGCGACATCCAGACGCTCCTAGCCTCTCACCTAGCGAACAAGACTTCATTGATCGCAGTAGAGCTCGCAAGAAGTATCTCCTCGAAGAGCCGTCGTCGCAGGAAGCAATTCATGAGCTCCCTCAGAAGTACCAGTGGAATGACTTTGTTCGCGAGTTCGCCACTTGCATCACAAAGAATGTGGACGGGATCATGAACGTGCCAATACGCTCGCAGACAGCATCCGGAGGCAATTCCGCTGCCCGGGCTGCTCAAGATGCCAACGGCAATGGCGGTGCTGCTGGAGGAGTAGCCACGCTCGCCAATGGAGCTAAAGCTGGCGGATCAGGCGCTCAAGCTCCTGAATCTCGCAAAGCTGCTGCAGCGGCGTCTACAGTCCGTCAACCGTGGACGAAGCCGGAAGAAGATGCTCTCCTGGCTGGTCTCGAGCGGGTGAATGGGCCACACTGGTCGCAGATCTTGGCTCTCTACGGACGGGGAGGGTCTGTGAGCGAAGTGCTCAAAGACCGAAATCAGGTGCAGCTGAAAGACAAGGCTCGCAATTTGAAACTGTGGTATTTGAAAACCGGCAAGGAGGTGCCACCTGCTTTGAGGGGTGTGACTGGGGAACTGAGAAAGCGAGGTGGAGCGCGGGCGAGGGCTGCATTGGGATTAATGGATGAGGAAGAGCAGAGCGCTGGTGCCGACGGAGATGACGATGAGGCGGACAAGGCGACTTCGAAGCGATCGAAGAAGAAGACGAGTAAGAAGTGAGCGCTGATGAGAGGGGCCAATTCGCTGGCCGAGGTCTGCGATGGTTCATTTCGTCTCATCATGGATGCCAGTCGGAGAGTGGAAATGTCGGAGATGTCGAAAGCAGAAGGACGGGCATGCAGGCTCACGCATTTGGTGAATGATGCTACTTGTCGGATCCACCTTTTGAAGTCTGAAAAAAGTCCTGCGTGGCATGCATTATGATGAATTTTTCAGAGAGGGATGCCTTGTACCTTCCAGCGAGTTTCGCAGGAGAGACCAGATGGAGCAATCAATGATTGGAGCTTGTACGGCAGCTTGAAGGATCTATGGAAACTTGTAATCGCATTCACAATGCCTTTGCGACGCAGGTACCACTCGTCATCAAGGCATCATATGACACCCGACTTAGAGCACAATTCAATAACGACAATGTCATGTCAAAGGGGTAAGGTAAGGTAGTATCTCGCGCGAGAGGTGGCGAATAATCATCCGGGCGTCTGATCCGCTTGTTTGGATCGTATCGACAGATTCGCAAAAGACACGGATATGTTGGAATTGCCTTGTCGTCCGGCCGTTTCGATTCCTTCCATGCCCTCGTTCGATAATAACATGTGCTGCTGCTGGGTTTGGGTGTGGGTGAGATTGGTAGAAAGTCCTCTCCTCTTCATATCGCGCAGGTGCTCCTCGACGGTGGCGCGGATGCTCTGCACGGGTGGCGTTCCTTCTCCGAATGTATTGACTGCATTTTTCAAATTCCGGAGTAGCTAAAAGTAGGCAGGCATTCCTCGTGTCAGGGTGGTTCTTTCTCCTCTTGCTGAATACCGGGGCGTACCTTACAATGAGAAGCAACTCATCTTCGGGAGCAGGAGCGTCCATTATCAATCGGGCCGTGGTTTTTTTCGGGATCGTTGGATTCTTGCCCGGTGCGTACCGAGTCTTCCAATTCTTCGCGGAATTTCTTGTTCTTCTGCTGTTTTGAATCGATTCCGTTGATTTCATCCATCGCATGTCGAAACTCGTGAGGTTCAACGTGGCCCAGGTCACGGAGATACAATTTCATGATGGCCCGTGCACCCAATTTGCCGGAGTCACGACTTCGCTTTTGCAGAGTCACGCACGACATCGATATTACCTCGACAACGGACAGTTCTGTGCCGCCGACCGTCATTATCCGTCTTATCCGGTTCCTTCTCATACTGTATACACATTGGAGTGTTGGTTGCTACTCTTTGAAAAATGGCAGACGTCGACGAGGACGCGATGCCTCGGGGTCAGGGCACTTCGGAGGATGTGGACCTTAGTGATGAGACGCAGGATTTCCGGTTCTTGGCTTCGATATCGTGAGTACAGACGTGACATGCATTATTCCTATTGACAAGCTGATGTACTGATTGCTTTCCTCGCTCGGTAGGAGAGAAAATGCCGCCATTCCCAAACGCGGCGAGAAAGATTTCGAACCGCATTCTACCGCTTTACAGTCCAATACTCTAGCAGCATCACGGCAGGCTATGCACAATGCGCTCTCTTTCCAGAGACAACATGCGCCGAAAAGTCATGTGGTTGCGACTTACCATCCGGAGACGAATATGGCGTACGCCATGAACCCGAAAGGACCCATGTTTACCAAGATGGGCCATGTGAAATCTGCCAAAGACGATCCTTTGGGCGCTGAGGATCGCGGCCAGAGGCTTTGGCTGCTGCCGGAAGAAGTTCTCTACCTGGTCGAGCGAGGCACTCTGGATGTGCGATGGCCTTCGGACGAGGAGGGCGAGAACGGGTTGCCGATGAGTCTTCAGGGTGCCTATGCGATGTTCCTTGGCGATCAGGGCGCGCATGACGGAGCTCTCACCTTTGAGCGATTCTCGGTCTACACCGGTTTGAAGCGCTCGGGTTACACTGTTATGCGCGCGCCTAGTTGGGCCACCGCCGGACCGCCACTTGGGAAGGACTGCTATCCGCCACCAATATCACAGCAGACGTGGAAAGCCGGTCTACTGAGCACAGCGTCAATTTGGAAAATGGTTCTCCCGTCACACGAACCGAAACTGGATGACTCGCGACAGCGTCTGGGTCCCCTCGTCGAACCAGGGCTCTACCGCAACTACGAATCAATCTACCGCCGCCTCGCCCTCATCAACTTCCACGACCCTACCTCTCGACAGCAAGACCCTACAACTGCAACCGAACCGCCCATTACTGACCCAAACTTCCGCATCACCTTCCACGTCTGGAAACCGGGAAATACGACCTTTAAGAAAAGCGCGCCCGGCATTCCCGATTTTCGGATCGCGGTGGTCAACGCACGCGAGACGTCCGCTCCGACACTACAACAACTCAGCGCACTGCTCGAGACAGCGCCATGGGATCCTCCCACGTCGGCAACTCACTTCAATCAGGAATTGAAACATGGGTACAAGAATGTCATTCTCGCGATTGTGGATAACGGGGTCACGAGCTATCTGCGTGTTTCCGATGCTGCATTTGGAAACGAGAAGGTCTTTGAGCGGAAAGCTGCTCAGAGAGGGGGAAAGCGGGGCGGGAGAGGTGGTGGTGGTGGGAGAGGCGGAGGTAGAGGCGGTAGGGGAGGTCGATGATCACGTCTCTTTCGAGGCTTGGGACTTTTGTCTATCGGCTTGAAGCGACGAGCTTGCCGACACTTGCTGCTCAATTTGGTCTTATCTTCAGACCCAGTCGTGGAATCGTTGTTCACGGCAGTCTCGCCATGCGAGAAATCTGGCTTCAGCCTCGGCCTCCACCTCTACCTCTCCCCCTGAATCCATTACCCCTGCCACCACGTCCTCCCCCAAATCCGCCTCGTCCCCTGCCACCGCGCCCTCCCCTACCGAATCCTCCACCCCGTCCCCTCCCTCGCCCCCTCGCACCACCAAAATGTCCCTCAGGCTCCGGCTTCGGTCCCCTCGCCATGCGCCCCTCCAACTCCTCCTCACTCATCTCCAACGGGTTGGGCATCCGCAGCATCTCACAGAATGCCCTCGTCTGCGGATTCGGAAACTCCCGTACGGTCTGATATTGCGGGTTCTGGAAATGGCCTCCATCATATACCGGCGCCGTGATAGCGAAATTCTCCGGGATCACGAGAGATTCCCTACTGTTCAGGTGGGCATCGATCCAGCGCATCTGCTCGTCGACGAGAGATTTGTATTCGGATTGCGATTTGGCGGGCGGGACGGCGGAGGAGGAGGAGGAGGAGGAGGAGGAGGAGGAGGCGGGGTCGTCTCCGCCGAAGGTGGGTGGTTCCGCGAGGGTGAAGGCGCGTGTGATGGCGAGCCATTCGGGGTCGTAGGATAGTCGGAGGGGACGCTGGTGGTCGAGATCAGTTTCCGATGACGGGATGGAGAGGAGTTGGAGGAAGTCTTTATGCGGGAGACATTTGTCGAGGGCGAGGAAGTTTGTGGTGGTGTTTGTGATGTCTGGAGGATGCTCGATGGGTTCTGGGGATTTGGGCTTTGCGAAGGATGCTGGGAGGGCGGCTCGTGCTTGGTCGAGGGGGGATGGGGCTTCTTTGTCATTTGCGCCGTTTGTATGCGTGGGAGTATCGTCGTCCAGTTCGAGGTGGATCTCGTCTACGTTTGCCGGCGCCGTGGTCACTGCGGCTGCTGGCGTTGTGTTCAGTCCCAATGCGGCTTCTGTGGGTCGCTCAGCATCATCATCATCGTCGAGGTCCAGATCGATTTCATCGTGGTTCTTGCTGATTGCAGCTATGCTTTCAGCCGTTCCATCGCCGTCCTCATCCAAGTCGATCTCATTTTCGTCCTTTTTGCTCGTGGCGCCACCACTAGGGTTTGGCAAAGGCTTCTGAGGAGCTCTCTCGTCCCCATGTGCCACGGTTGCTGCGTATTTGCAATGCAGATGCGCGCTGAACCAGTAGGGCGGCCTCAGACGATCGAGGACATTCTTAGCAGCCACGCTGCCCAGTTTGCCGCTTCGAGCGTCGTCTTCGAAGTAGCGTTTTGATTTGAACAGCTGCTTGAAGTTGCCCTTCCACTCGACTCCCTGTGGCCAGTCATGGCTAACGCCAATGTCCACCTGCGTTCGGATTTGCAACAGCTTCCGCACGTCCAGCTCGCGCACATGGTAGATGCTCTTCATCTCGGACTCGTTGTAAGGCAGTCTCTCAAAATGAGGTTTGCGGTAGTCGAAGCCTTTCCAGATACCGCTGAGACCGGCTATTCGCAAGGGCCCGAGCTGGAGAACATTCGTAGCGCCCATGTAGTAGATGTTTGCCGCCACCCAGCCTCCGTAGTACAGTTCGGACAGGTAGTTGCTGGCTTCATGGTTGCCGCCGACGAATACGGTCAGGTATGGAGCAACTCGTTGGCCCGAGTAGTATTCGTGGAAATCGCACATCTCCCGATACTTGGCCGGCATGCTGACGCAGTTGAGGTCGTATGCATTCCGCACTGACTGGAAGTCTCCGCCGATGATGAGGAGATCGACGCCAGGCCATCCTTTCTGCTTGCATGCCTCTTGTATTGAGGCGTATATGGCATGTAATGTTCCGTGGCCGCATCCTTCGATTGCCAGGCGGACGCCTTGCGATTCCTCGAGTTTGCATGCCATTTTCCAGGTCGAATGTTCCAAGTTAAGTAGTCATACTAAGACATTCCCGAGCAGCGAGTTGGAGGATAATCGTCGAGAAGTTTTCGTCCAAATGTTTGTTCCTTGGCTGTTTTGATGTAAGAAGGCAGGTGCATCGACAATGTATAGAAAACAGAAGTCCGACAGCCGCTAGCGTCCGTGTAGAGAGGCCAATGAAAGCGCGGTGTATCTGCCTAGTGAAACTCTAATTACGCCTCTCGTCTGCCAATTTTACACCTCATCATCATTTTGGCACCCCTTACAAACCGACACAGTTATCAACCGACACAGCGGTGTGGCGGCTCTCATCATGAGTTAACACACAATGACTACATGTCCATCATCGTCTGTTACTCTGGACTACTTGGACAAAGCTTCTGAATTGCTCACAGCCACAGCTCCTACAGTCTCGGCAGAAGTACAGATGTCCAAGCATTCGTTGGCAGAAGCCACATGCAAGCAGGCGCGCCGTCATATGCCGTGTTGTCACGCTTGCGGTCATGCTCTGATACCAGGCTGGACCTCTGTCACAAAGACAGAGAAGCGGGTTGTACGAACACGCCGAGAACGGTTGGCAAAGAACAAGCAAGCAAAAACTGTCACCTTCGAATGCTCGAGATGTCGTACAATCACCACCCTGGAATCACCAAGGCCGAGAAGACTCAACACCGAGAAACGATCTCAAGTAGCAGCGCTGTCTTTGGGCAGCACAAAGCCGGAGACGCTCACAACATCCGTGCCTCAAAACTCACATTCTGAGATCTCAGCGCCTCCGACGCAGCCTATCCTTGAACGTCCAGGCAAGAAGCGAAGCAGAAACAAGAAGTCGACCCTGCAGTCTCTCCTTGCAAACAAGAAGACGACAGCTTCCAAAGGCGGGTATGGCCTGGATCTGATGGACTTCATGAAGACCTGAGTCCTAGGTATCGCGCATTTCAACCCGGACCTGCACGCCCGCTTTGACACATCTTCTGATGCGCCTGCCCTGCAACCTCGCGCAATTTCCACGTCTTTCAGAGCTGTATCTACTGCCTCGAAGTCGAATCGCCGGTAAAGCACAGATGTCGCAAGATATATCTCTGCACACGCCAAATGCCGACCTAAGCAGCCTCAAGCAGCGCTCGGGTCTAAACGACTCCGGTCCTGGAAAATCTCTGAATCATACAAGATGAAGTATAGAGACTGAGACACTGGATTGCCAGCTGGTATTGTCCACTCCGAATTCTAAAGCGCATTGGGTGCCAGTCTGAACAGACGACTCGTGGCGATATCCGTGGTACAAATAGCCCCTCGAACCGTCGCTGCGATGCATGTTAGCTGGCAAGCTGCGTCCATGAGGTTCACCTGGCAGCCCGCAAGCTCTTCCCTCAATTGGCCCACGCAGTCCGGATTTGCAGACATATAGAAGACCAATCTCTGCGGGACCCAAGCAGTAGTCTCGCTCCCAGATGCTCCCACTGCATTACTTCGGCAACCAGTCGATCCAGAGACCTCTCCTCTAGTTGGAGACGACCAGCCTGAAGGTCATTGAAGATGGTCCCTTACTTGGGTGCAGTCCCGGCTCATCCTCCTTCTCATCGACAAGAGTCTTTCCCTGACCATATCCTGGACATTCAAGATTCCTGCGATCTCTGGATTGAGCCATATCACCCAGCGATCCGGCATGCAGCGAGATAGTGTCATCGTACACGGCATGGATCGCGTAAGCGGAATTTTCGAGGAGAACAGCTGCACTATCTCATGGAATCGTCTTCCGCACTCGGCCTGCTCAAAGTACTCATGATCGGGGCCGTAGCAATAGACACAGACCATATCTATCGTCATTACGACGAACGCCCAATTCATACGGACCTGTTTGGTCAGCGCGGCAACCAAGAGGCTCATGTTAATACCAAGGGCAAGCATTTCGGCGCCTGTGAACATATGGGCGGAAGGCAGAAACTTGATCATTAGAATTCCGAAGTTTCTAGCTTAGCAGACGAGACTCTGTATCGAAAGCTACGTCACACGACATGCTGGTAGCTCACATGAGGCCCCGACACTTGCATGCCATTAGAGCTGACATCGGTGTCGCCTAAGCCATGCGATTTCGCCAGTCTTGCCAGCTGAATGCATGAACGACTGTACATGGCTCACTTGCCGTACGACCACATCGTCATCATCGTCCGAAGCCACGGGGCAAAGTAGAAACCGACAGTGAGATTCATGACTTGCGCCAACAGGAAATCGTCGGGGGTCGACAGGTTTTTGTGGTCTCTATACCTGATGCTAGTCCTCATCACTTGCGTCTCATCGTCACAGCTCTCTCTCTCTCAGATTTTGGCCATTGTGCCCGACTGTCTTTGCGTATGGCCCGCCGTGGAGAGCTGGACGGGCTGGCATCGCATCACAAGCCGAAGAGGGCGTGTTCAACCCTGAGCTTTCGTTGAGGTCGTGTGGACGCACGGAATTCGGTCAATCTCCTCATGATCCTTTTCATCGTCACTTCATATCCTGCTCTCTCCTTCTACCTAGTCTTGCTCATACCCCTCCGTCTTGATGTCTTTGAGTCCCAGATCCTCTTCCTCTTCTTCTGTTCTTTCGTAGTCCTCCAGCTCAATCTTCGGATCAGGTTCCGGTGCAGTCAAGCTCTGCACATAGGACCCAGCCAACGGATCCTGAAGGACCAAGGTGAAGTCCCTTCGGCCTTCAATGGCTTCGGTCAGCGACGTGAAGAAGTTCTCCCATTGCTGCTTGCTGTCCGCGGCCATTGAATCGCCTGCTCCTGCGGGCACTGCTGCGTCGCCATCCTCGAGACCGAATGCTTGTGCGCGGAGATCTTTTCGAATTTGTGTCATGATGCCTTCCACGGTCGTGAAACGGCCACCCATGGTACCTGGTTCGACACGGAGTTGAAGCTCAGGGCAATGCAGCGACGCAGATTCCGATTTGAGGATATCACGAGCAAGATCCTCGGCGGTGCTAACTTTCAGGGTTATCCTCTTTCCCTTCGCTGGAACTTCGCCTCCTGTCTTTACTTCATTACTTCGATATCCGCAGTGATCGCACACTGTCGACATCAGCACGACTTGCTTGAAGTAGGGGATGTTGACCATTTTCATATTCGTCGTGCATGACTTTGTGCACCCGGGACATGAGGCCGGGAAGCTGTAGACTTGATTCTCGAGGATGTCGTCTTCTGCATCCACGTTATTGGGCTGCACAGCCGGTGTTGCGCCGTTTGCTCCAATCAGATTAGAGGAGTGATACTCTGGTCTCATTGTGGACTCGGATACTTGTGCTTCGGCTGGAGGCTGCGGCACCTCATCTCCTAGTCCAAGCGTTGCATTCTGCGCCGGTGTCCGGTTGTACTCGCTCTTTGCCCACTTGCCAGCCGCATCACCTGGCTTTGGCTCGATCGAACTGTTTCCACTTGGGTCGTCCGCTGAGACCATGAACGGGTATTTCCTGCCCTCCAACATATCCGAAAGTGTGGTTATTATGCCAGCCACCTTTTGTCCTACTTCTGGCATCTGCTCCATTCTCGCCTCTTGATGCTGTTCCAAATCGCCCTTGACCTGGCTCAGGATCCCTTCCACGTTCGTGTATTGTCCTTTCCCCGCGGGAATCTCCAAATCCAAATCTTCCACTCTGAACACGCAGATATCGCTCTTGACCACTTGCCTCTGCAAATCCTCACCTTTCTCTACCCTTAGCGCATACCTTGCGCCTTTCGGTTGAATCTCTCCCGCCGCTTGGATCTCGTTGTTGTGAAACCCGCAGTGATCGCAAGAGAAGGACATGATGACTATTTCTCGGAAGAACGGGATCTTCGTGAGTAGAAGCTTGGTGATTCCATTTTCGTGGCAGTTCATGCAGAGCGATTCGATTTCTTCAACAACTTTTTGTTGATTGTCTTCGCCGTCGCCGTTGGAGAAGCCGTTGACCTTACGGCCCATATCCTCGAAGAGATCCTGCGCCAGAGAAGCGCCGCCATTAGATTGTTGTGCCATGTTGTTCGTTCGCTTAGATGTGTTGAAGGCTCAATCTGCAAATTTCACAAACTTTTGACCGCGCGACGGATGACGCAGTGCTTCGACTGAATAAGCTTCACGCTAAGATAAGATAAGAGATTTGGAGTATGCTACCACAGCTACCTTACTCTAGAACCGGGTGGAATGTTCAGTAAGGTACTACTACTCACTCAATCGCGTCTTTTGCTTCGACGGTCGACAGGTGCGCGACCTCACGCGTGCACATGACGACACTCTGATCTACGTACCACCTGCGGCGAGTTGACTGGCTGCAAAATTCCCACTTCAACATCACGACCTCAAACGACAAACCGGCCATCAGGAGGAAGACGGACAACATGGCATCGAGCGACACCAGCCGCCCTCTGCTCGAGCTGCCAGGCGAGGTTCGCAAGCGTATCTGGGAGCGCGTCTTTGCTCATCATGTTGTTGATCTCCCACCCGCTCCTGGCAACTTGAATGGCGGACTTCCGCATACTCTCGACCCGGCCGCACCTGCCATCCTCCTTGTTTGCAAGCAGACTCACGCCGAAGCTATCGGCGTGTATTATCGGCTCAGCGACTTCCGCGCACCCCATGACTTCCCGCTCAGAATGTACCTACGCCAACTACCTGTCGCATACTTCCATCTCGTGCAGAACATCAGCATCGAACTGGGTCGCGCAATCCCGAACCGACGCCTAAATGTTCAGTTCAGTACTACCTACATCGCCAACCTCGCTCAGCGTACTGTTCTGCTCTTGCAGCAATACCTTCGCGATGTGGACCATCCGTCCGCTCGTGACATTACGGTTAGGGTCAGCACCGATAGTGCAGGAAAGATCTTTTCTACAACTCCATGGGAGACCTATACGCAAAGTCTTCTTTCAGAGCGCGGTAAGGATTTTGATCCTTCAAAGTGGTCAACGGCGTCTTGACTGACATTCGCTTGCAGCCTCCAATGACTCAGATCAATCGAATGACAGCCTGGGTGCGCGGGTCGAGGAAGCTCTCGCACAGTCCCGCTTCTTCGAGTACGACCACCGGCGGCCACTTACGTGCTGGAAGTCCAGGTGGCCTTGGTTAAGACAAGGCAACTGCGGTTGCGGGATGAAGACGACAGAATAATCGCCATCCGAAGACAGACGAGTTCAACATGTGAGCTAAAGCGTAGTGTGCAGGACCAGAAACTTAGTAAGCGGCGCGCTGCTGAGGCCCGACGCAGTCAGCCAAGTCACACATACGGGTCACACTCACATAGAGAGGCACAGGTGGTCTTCTCAAGTGAATCGTTGTCATTAGCAGCTTGAATCAGAAGTACAGCATAGAAGCTGGGAGACCAACCATATGAAACTCCTTTCCTCTACTCGATCCAGCCTGCCAATTTGAACCAGATTCATCGTGCCTCACGTTCCTCGTCTCGTGTCGTCTTATTCTCAGTGGCGTCCGGCCACGCGGGACCTTCCCGTATGATCAAGACGCTCATGCCTCGAAGTCTGATGTCGTTCTTGCTCGTGAATTGCCTTGTATGCCCCTCCACTCCTCGTCTAGTACCGGTACCGAGTTGAGTAGTCCTTCGGGCTCACGACCAGACCACGGCCCTTCTTCGCTCCCTTGTAAATCGTCTCGATAATATCGATCAACTCCTGCTTATCCTCCAGCACCCAGTTCAATTTGTTGTTGTTTCCCGTACCAAAGTCGCACATCATGTGCTTATTACGGAAGAAGAACATGAGCGTGACCGGGTCGTAGAGCTCATACATCTGTTTGAAGTCGGGTACTTGATCGAGGTCGCAGACGTAGATGACGGCGAAGTTCTTGACGCGCTCGGCGATTTTGTAGAGGACTTCGTCCTGGCGCATGCAGTCTGGGTCCCAGTCACGGCCGAAGCGGATGACGACCAGGCGGTCTTCTTCGGACATGATGGCTTGGTCGACGTGCCAGCCGGTCACGAGATGGGGAATGACGACGGAACCCATGGTTGCGGACGTGCTTCGCGATTGTGTTTATTCGAAGCCCTGGAATTGTGCAGAGGATGCTGATGGAGGTGGACGTGAAGCTGCTGAAGACTGGGGACAGCTGCATGAGTCAAGCAAATGCGGGGAAAGCCGTATCTGACTCTTCATCTGCGAAGCCTCACGTGCCAGGTCGCTAACTTTT